GAACAGTGTTAATCATACCTAGTGTTTGTTTACCGTCCTAATAGTAAACATTTTTATTATTTACAGTGAATTACACATTCTTAATCAAGTTTGCTTGTCCTTGATCATACATTTAAAAACAAATATTCCTCTTAGTTCAATGCTACACATTTACAAGTTGCTGAATCCTATCTCAGCTGTAGGGCGAGAGGCAGGGTACACCCTGAACAGGTCACCAGTCTATCACAGGGCTAATAGAAAAAGACCCACTTTGGAATAACCAGTTAGCAAAACAGAGTGTTGGTAAACTCTTAAAAATCTCATTGATTGATTTATAAAGTAATTATATAATAAAACTATTGAGCATTTGACCTTTTTAAATAATTGAATATGACTCATGCATAAGTGACTGTAGGTTTAAGTTCAGACAGTTCACACACCTCCTGATTGCTTTTCCTCTCCTTCCTTCACTTTTATCTCCAGGTATTCGCTCAGCCATCCAATGTCGCAATTACCAAGATGGATGTGAACAACCTGGCCATGGTGATGGCTCCCAACTGCCTCCGATGCCAGTCCGACGACCCACGGATCATCTTCGAGAACACCCGCAAGGAGATGTCCTTCCTGAGAATGCTCATCGTTCACCTGGACACCAGTTTCATTGAAGGGGTGGTGTAGAGGTTGCAAAGCACAGAGAGTGCACCTCAGGGGCTGATCAGCCCTCAAACTTGTCCAGTTATACATTAGAAGCATGCAAAAATACTGTCTCTCTGTTCAGACCGCACTGGAAACTGTTGAGGTGAGATATTAAACTTCTTACAACACAAGGAGTGCGAAAACCGCTTTAGCTGGGACTTTGAGCCCTTGTGCTCTCCTGCTTTCTTACTGAAAGACGAACACACCACCTTAGGATTCACTGATTTTGATACTAAAATCCACAGTGACTGCTTACAAGTGGTTCACTTTAATGACTGTATTTTCTAACCGCTGCATGTGAAGGGGTTTACCTTTATTTCTTATCTAATTGGTAGAACTATAGTTACATGGGACAACTGGGCTGTGCAAAGTACAAACTTAGTTTCAGAAATTCCTTACTTGCACAAAAAAACATAAGGCAGCAGTGTTAACGCTCTGCCTTTTTTTCTCCTCTCCCCACCCCTCTGGTTGATTTTATTCAAGCGTGTGTGCGTGTGTGATTGTCAGCGTGTGAACAAAAGGCACAGCCTTCTATTATGTACAGAAAATTGAACATATGAAATGTAAAAGAGATCTTGTAATGGTGTCTTGTTAATAAGCTTGCCTGTGCTGTTTTGAGTAGTCGTACTGATAGCCGGTCTCCTCGTATTTAATTTTACGAGGCATATAAAGCCACTCCACCGCAATTATTCTGATAGACTACAGAGGCTTCATTTCAAAGCACAAACTAGAGGGATGTGCAGAAAGCTCTTGATAATGGATGGTGGCAATTTTCTAAGCAAATAAACATGGAACTACTTTGATTTTTCCAAATTCAAACGATTGCCTAAGCCAGGCGGGAGTGTTAATTCTAATTACAGCTCACGCTGTAACAACGTGGGAGGCTGGTTATTCAACTGATAATACACTCTCTATTATCTGTAAGATAAATTTCAATTGGAATCAAGTTCTCTTGTGTTTGTGGTCCCTATGTTATGCTTTTTTTTTTTGGCTCAGGTCTTACTATAAAACGGGTGTTCGATGTGAGAACTGTACATGGCCTCTCTCTTTCTCTCTCTCACAGACTGAAAATTTGATTAACCTTAACACAAGCCTCTTTCGCTGAATATTGATTTAACTGTCAAGTGCTATGAGAATGTAAACTGAGCTTTTTTGTGCCCCTCTTTAAGGCTTTGTCGATGTAAATATTTTACATGTAAAATAGTAGTAACTTCCTGTAAGTGTATTCTAATGGTCTGGGTTATGGTTGAGCTTAACTGTTGCTGTAAAAGAGCAATAAAAAAACTTTTGTGTTGTAATTAACTGATCATTTTTCTGCTGTAACCGCTCATCTTACGAACATAGGAATGATTCAAACCACTTTCCTTGTACATGCGTGTATGTGTGTTGGCATACTTTCTCATCGTAATAAGGAATGATTGTCCATGAATAAAGATTTGTTCAAAATTACTGTTGGATTCCCTAGTGTGTGCAATTTATTTGTATTTTGATTTTTTTTGGTTTGGGGCAGTTTGCCTTTATTCTGGTAATAATAGTTTGTAAAAAAGCGTGGAAGAACACCAAGTAACAAAGTCCTCTGATACCTCTGTGCAGTGGCTTAAAACTGTACAGTTCAGCCTGTATTAAAGGGTTTCTTGAGAGGTTATGATAAATCACTAATTTTCAATCCAATCCTTTACCTGACCATTTTCAAAGGAATGTTTTTGTTGTTTGTTAACAATGTCCCATGAATCATTCACAGGGGTCACGACTCTGTGATAGGCCCCAAGCCAGATATTTTCTTGGGCCGTTATCACCATGTGGGTGGCTGTGGCTCAGGAGGTAGAGCAGGTCATCTGCTAATCAGGAAGTTGTTGGTTTGATCACTAGGTGCTCCAGTCTGAGTGCCCAAGTGTCCTTGGGCAAAATACAAAAGCAGAGTGCTTTCATTGGAGTGTGAAAGTTGCACAGAAAGCACTTAAATGTTAAGTGAGTCCTCAAGCACAGTAATTCAAGAATGGACTAAGCTTTTCAACTAGGCTACCACAAGCTAAAAACAGTAACACAAAAACAGCTGTAACGCTCACAAGAATGGAACAAATGAACCACAGGTCCTCAGACTGCATGGACGGGTCACCAAACCTTCACACTTATTTATAGAATTCTTCATTCAACAATTTGCAATAGACCAACTTCTGCATATCACACACACGAGAGTGTGAGTGGATGTTTTCATGTAAGTGGAAACAAATATATCAGTCCTGTTAATCTTTTTATTCTAAACATAATTTTAATACATAGATACTTTTTAGGACCTTGGCTAAAAGAGTTCAGTCTGTGCTGAAGAATCATGGTGATCATACCAAATATTGACTCTCAAGCCCATTAGACTTTTACATACTCAGTTTTTGCCTTATATACAGATTTTCTGTTTATGTTTCTTCATTTCAATAAATTACTGCACCTATTTTTATTTTCTAATTGTTTTTTCTTTTGTATAGACTAACATTTTATAATAAAATATTTTCTAATATTAAAATGTTGAGCGTTTTTTTATTTGATTTAAGGGATTAAACAATGTTTAACTACTAAAGTATACATTGATACATCAGTTCAATGTAATTATATCATTGCAGTTTAAAATGTTCATGGATCTAACTCTCAAAAGCAGAAGTAATACGCCTTGACGTTTCGCAATCAGCCAGTCTGTCTTGCAGTGTGTTACACAATCACACCCAGAGAATGAGAATCCATTTTTCCTGTTTGTCCTTAGACTCACAAGGGAAAGAGTTAACAATCAGATATACCGGATCCCCCCCCCGACACACACACATACAAACACACACTTCTCCACAATTGTCATTGCCTTCACTGTACATGTTCAAATATTTGTCATTTTTATGTTCATCACTACACAAACTTCACTCTGCTTCATCGGTCATTCTGGTGCAAAGCTGCCAGAGCAGCATAAACATTAAAGCCAGATAATAGGAGCTCTGGGCTTTGCCTTTGGGACTTGAACAAGTAAAAGAAAAGAGATCCAGGCGAACATACACCGGGGAGACACTTGTGTCCCCTGGGCATAGTCAGGGACTGAAAGCATCACTATTCTAAGATCAAACCAACAACTTATTTAGGAAACATTAAATACAATTGAACATTATACAAGGAACAGCTGTACTAAAAAGCCATTGAAATTCTGATTTTTTGTGCTTGTATTTATGCCTGTGCCTGTATTTAGACTTTATTACGGATTTATACCGCATGTGACTTACATTTCTGATTTCATTTACTGCTTTTACATTTTTGTACATATTCATAATTATTACAGTTTATAATAGATAAAGTTTGGCAAATTGCAGGTTATTAAATATTTAATATTTATCTATACATACGCAATGAAACAGACTGTATTAGATGAGACGTCCTATTGATATTCACAAGGGCTTTGGTCCGTTTAATGCGCATGCGCATCGCAGAAGCACACTGCCCGCGCCGGTGGTGAATGCAACGGGGAGAAATTTAACTGCGTGGTCTTGAGCTGACAGGCGGAGCCGGCGGTTCCTGTGCTTTTAAGCAGTTACACAGCAGATTATACATCGAACCGGACAAATAGAGACTGGTAAACAGGTAAGAAGCTTGAATATCCTCACTTTGCATTCGACAGATTTAAATTCCCAGTAATATCGTGACCGAGGCCCGGTTGGTGGGTGCATCAACAGCGGTATGGTGCCGCATGTCGGCTTTTTGAGTTCAAAACAAACGTGACGAAGTAGGTAATAAAATGTTATACGAGTACATATCGGTTTTGTATTTGTTATATAGCAGGTGTGCTTTCAGGTCCTACGGTCTTTGTTACTCTGTGCTTTGAAATGTCTGTGGCTGTTTAGTTGGAGAAGTTTATACTCGGCATTTCCACGCCGCGCGCACACACAGCCAGAAAAGTATGAAAAAGTAGGCCTTCTGCGAGGCCGCGAACGGCTCTGTGAACGACAGCTGCTCGCCCAATCAAATGTAAGCGTCCCGCCTCCACAATGCTTGTTCGACGAGTGTTATTTGTCAAAGGGTCTGACGTAGGTGTCAGTTTTTTCGCGCTCCGCCCTCCGGTTATAAAACACTGGACAATAACGCGTCTATAGTGGTAGAAGTGGTCAACAAAAGGAAATCTGGGAAATGTCGAGTCCTGTTAGTGTTTTTTCTCTTCAGCTTTTCCCCCTTTTATTAAATTAGATAGAAAATAGCGGTTGAACGCTGTTAAATGTATTGGGTGGGCCGGTGGTAAAATACTATATGGGGTTCCGTTTTCCTCCGCATATTACAATGCGAAATGTGCTACTCCACACATAGTCTTAGCGGATAATTTTGAGATTAAAGTAATTTTTATCACCTGTTTCATGTGCCCTGATTGTGGCATCTTACGTCTCTTGTGCGTCTTCTGTGTCCGTGTCGCTGCCGTCTGTGTAGCTCTCTGCACGCCAATAAACACCCGATTTGATCTTAAATCCAGTATTTTTGCCGAGCAGACTATTGCTCGCCTCTTAATGTAGCGGGAATACCCTACGTGCAACCATAATGGTCTTTACCATTGTCTCCCATTGTGTCTATACGTGAAACCGACTGACCAAAAAAACACGTGGGCAGGGTAGTGTGAAGATATCCGGTTTGTAGGTTGCGCTGAAATCCGGAGTTACTCCCGACAGTCTCCGCTATGGTGAACCGATTAGGCTCCGTCGTGGACAAAAGTAAGATGCTGTGGTGCATGGTGTGAATTTTTAGTTGTTTAAATAAAAGGCACCGGCATGTCAGTCTGTCCTGTGTACGTACGCATGACAAAAGAAGCGATGTTATCGGGAGGATTTCGGTCTATTCCTCTGCTCGACTCCAACGACCCTCATTATTTTTTATTTGTATTTTTGTTATAGCTGAAATAGCGATCATCGGTGTTATTCTTTATCTGACAACGGCAGTTTAAGCAGAATGTGCTGTTAAATCAATCCCGTGTTAGCTCGGTGCAGAAATGTCTTCCTGCTGTAGTGGTGAATGCCTACAGTGAGCACATTATCTTTGTCATTCTTAAACCGTCTTTCGATGTGGTTGATAAGGATACACTGAAATCGCACTGTGATCAATTTGATTAAAACCGCTTAGGAGCCTGTGTGAGGACATTTGATTATTTTTTTAATTTTTTAAAGACTCCTATTCTTTGAGGTAGTGTTTGCTGAACATCTGGTACTGGCTACATATTCACCACCATTTGAGGGGCATGGCTCACCTTACTATACCAGTATTTAATCTCTGCACACTGTGCCACACCATGTAACAACATTTGTAATCTGTAGCTTGTATAAGCCTACAGTGGTAGTATTTTTCCCTTGCTGGACAGGGTTATTGTTCTTCTGGCACAAAGGGGGTGTCTTAGATTGGTATTCAGATTTAAAGAGTGATTTATTTTTCCAGTCACTTGGTGAAATATTTAGGAAAGACCACAGGCACACACAGAGTTGACTGCATTATTATCTGTAAAGACCTTGACGGTCGTGTGTGTGTGCACATGTGTATTGTGTCCCTTGTTCGGCACAATTTATGTCTCTTAGTTGCAAAACAGAGGTCATATGAGTGCAGATTCTTTTAATGGTTAATGTGTGTGTGTGTGTGCGCATACAGGAAGGGTGCCTTGATGTGGGCAGTATGAGTAAGACGCCCCCTAACAGAAGAGGGATAACATTTGAGGTGGGAGCTCAGCTTGAGGCTAGAGACAGCCTCAAAAACTGGTGAGTCATGGCCTCACTCATTCCTCTCTCATCCATTTTACTGTTCACTTCCCCCTCACACCTAAGTTTCCATTCCTTGTTTATTTTCGGGCCTGTATTACAGTAACCGTAATGTTTGATGAGTGTCCTCAAGGTGTCCCTTAAGCTGTGAAAATCATGTAAAAACATGTTAAATTCTATTTAAAGGAATTATCCTTGTAAATGTGTGATAAGACTACATCATTAGAATACTGCCATTGCAAAACTAAGTGGGAGGAGCCTTTTAAAATATGAATGTCTTTTATAATAGACCTGCACTCCTTCTGACACAGTTATGTATAAATGCAGTTGATATTGTATACAACAGTTTAGTGCTAAAGGTATCATTTAAAAATGAAAACTAACTCCACTACAGTAAGGTGTAAATGCCCAGCACACCATCCACTAAGTACAGCTGTGCCATGGTTCATTGTATTTTATGTGTTTACATTTTTAAGCTTGATTTCATTTCTAAAGCCACCCTCATATGTTTGAGATAAATGATAAGTGCTTAAATCACTAGACTTGTCATTCATTCAGCCTTTCTATAAACTAGCCATTGAACTTCTTCCTGTAGGTATGCTGCCAACATTGAGAAGATTGACTATGATGATGAAAAAGTGTTGATCCATTACCGGCAGTGGAGCCACCGTTACGACGAATGGTTTGACTGGACAAGTCCCTACCTGAGACCTGTAGAGAGAATTCAGCTGAGGCGGCAGGGCCTGAATGATGATGTACCTGTAAGCTAACAGTCATGCTTGCTTTGAAGTGTGTAGCGTAGAGACATTCTGCCTTGTCTTCTTTACCCTTTGTTGCACAGTGCATTACTGCATTGAACTGGTCTTAGCGAAATGCGATTCTTGGGTTTTTGTATTTGCATAAGTTCAATGGTACTGCTGCTTTTACTTACAAGTAAAAGTGTCATTTTTAATAAAACTATAGGAAGCCTTTAACACCTCCACCTCCAATGCAATCTTTGAAATGGTGCCAACAGTGTCACATCTTTTCCCTCCAGGCCTTTAATGTGAATGACAAAGTGTTGGCCAGCTGGTCTGACTGCCGTTTCTATCCTGCTAAGGTCATTTCGGTTAATAAAGATGGTGAGTATCGCATTAAGTTAATGGGCTTAAATGAGTTTCAGTCATGGATTTGTTACTAGTTTTTAAAGTTTTGCATTTTCATTGCAAAGTAGTGTTATATGGAGTATAGTCTGAGATCTTGTACGTTTGTTTTTGGTTTCAATATGAAATCTGTGATGTCGTCTAAGTACTTTCTCTTTTGTTGGGAATGCAAAAAAAAATCTAAAATGCTAGATTTATCTGATTTCTGCATAGAGCGATTGCCTCACACACATCACATTTAAAATGATCAAATAGTTGTATGTTTTCTTCATTCTTTTCAGCATCCTACACTGTGAGGTTTTATGATGGTGTCATCCAGACAGTGAAAGGAATACATGTGAAGCCTTTTACCAGAGAGGTACCAACATGTTTTTTTTTTTCTTACAAATGATACGATATACTGTCGTGGATTCGACTACGGTTTTTAGATCTTTGTTTCTAAGCTATTTCTTTGCCCTGCTCACAGAGAGGTGGAGGGAAGTCTCGGTCTTCTGAAAGGAACATGGTTAGGAGGGCCCCAAACCGCAGAGACAGAAGGTCTCAGGAGAACGGGGGACCCAAGAACAAGCGAGCCAGACGCAGCACTTCAGACCAGGAGGAAGACAGCAACACTGAGGATGAGGAGCATGAACAGGGAATGGTAAATGATAAAAACAAGAAAACAAATGGTGAGCTAGAGGCTGTGCCCACTGTCAAAAAAGAAGAGGAAATCCCTGAGAAAGCAGACCAAATCAAGCCCAGGGATGTCGAAAAAGGGACAGGATTCAGTAATGGCGTGAAAGTCGAGGAAGACGAGAAGGAAGGTGGCGAAACGTGTCGCATCAATGGAGATGTGAAAAAGGAAGAGGTGGAAATGGAACAGACTGGAGCAAAGCCATATACAGAGTCACTCAAGCCATACACAGAGTTGCCCACTCAGATGTCATTGCAAACAGAGCAGGTGTCTGTCACTATGACAACCACAGAATCCAGTGGCGATGTGGAGCAGAAACCAAATGTCCAATCAGAAAGTGTTCAGGCCGCAGTGGATGTGCCGCCTCCTCAGCCTGTGAAACGTAAGTGTTAACGCACTAAATGAAGTCATTTAGCAGAAATGCCATTGGCTCTCTAGTGTTTTGGAAAGCATGTGAGCGCACTTTGAAGAGTTCCTTTCATTTATCTTTTAACAGCGGTAAGGAAGCAGGGTTTCCACAACCCCAACAGATTTAGCAGAGAACCATGTGAGTACATTTTAACATTTTTGAGTCAAGCACTGCAATTTCTCACACTCTTTAAAAAAACAAGAAGAGCTTTATTTACACCTTGCACTTCTTTTGTTCTGTTTCAGTGTATCGAGTTATCAAAAACCAACCTCCTCCTGTCCTGTCCATCAATCTTGATCACAACCCGTTCAAGTGCAGCGCTCCTGGCTGCACAAAATCATTCCGTAAAGCCAAGCTGCTGCATTACCACATGAAATATTACCATGGCGAGGAACAGCCCCCAGAGGCAGACCGCAGCCCCACAAGGAGCGTCCAGACTAGGGCCTCTGAGAAACAGTCTAGTGCCACTGGTTTGGATGGCACAAAGAGAAGGCGCACCATTTCTGCATCCATGCGTAAGTTATTCTTCAGTTTGTTATTTGTTCCAGATAAAGTGACAGAGGAAGAGTTTTTAATAAATAAACTGGGTCACTGCGTCGCTTTTTCAATAGTAGAATCTGAAATGCTGAGTCACGGCTTGCTGTTATTTTAAATCACATACTTCAGAATTGAGGCCAAGTGATAAATATATGCACGTCCAGCATTGCTTTGAGATCAGGCACCTTGGCTCATAAATTCCTTGTGATTTTTTTTCCTCAGAGTCTGTTGGAGTTGCCACGGCTCCGCGTGGAGAGCTGAAGGCTGCTGGCAGACGCACGTCAGCACCGCCTGCAGTCAACACTCAAGGCCATCAGCAGAGGGCACTGCTGAGGGAGAAAAGCAAAGAGAACCAGCTGGACAGGAATGGCTGTCAGCTGCAGGACAAAGACTCAGACAGGAGTTGCTTCGATATTGGTCAGTATGATGCAATGAAAATATGCTCAGAACAGTTCAGCTTGTATGAGTACCAACCTGTTAGCAGTGTTTGCTGTACTCTCATGCAGCTGAACTCTTGCCCCTAGGTTCAGTAAAAGATAAACTGAAAGAAAAGCCTAAACAGAAGGACTTCCTCCGCATTAAACTCAAGAAAAAGAAGAAGAAAAAGAAGGCCAAGTCTGGTAAGAAGCAGGTGCTTGGCATATGGCTGCATCACATATCTGCTGCTCTGCATGCGCACTCACTGTGACATTGTGGGAATGGCTAGCCTGCAAAGCATCGTGCTCCATTCAGTCCTCTTGGTGTGGTGGTTGAGTCTGTGTGTGTGGGAGAAGCGTGATATTTGTCGTCTGCCTCTGTCCCTCCATAATGTCAGTCAAAAAACTCCAACATCTTGTCTCTTAAATCTATTGGTCAGCTTGATTTATTTTATTTTTTTAGATTGTTTTTAAAGTTCTTTTAGCTGGCAATACAGATGGAAAAAGCCAGATTTCATTGTGGCACTGATAATGACTGATCCGACATACAAGTCCTGCACTAGTGTTAATTCTGGGTAGCATTCACAGTGGTGTGTTTGGCATGCACACGAATGTATAGGCGGCGTTCCACTGACTAGTTATTTGACATTGTTCAGTCCTGAAATACGGGCTGCATGTTTGCCCCCCGATTGTTCTTGAGTAATGTCATTTGTCCATAATGTATGTTTGTGCCACATTTTCTCACTTCCTGATGGGCACTTGTTTTTAGCATTATTAAAGCTGACATTTTTGTTCAACATGTGCTTCCCCCCCCCTTCCCTGTATTAACAGACTGCACAGGTAGTGAGGAGAATATTGGCATCTCAGTATTGGGTCTTCAGTCCAAATTGAATTTGCCACTCAAAACTCCCCCCTCACACAATCACAAGCCCGAGGCCTACCCCAGCAGGCCTGGATACAGCTACTCAGAGCAGATACATGTGGATGGTGGGTATTTCTGATAGTGTGCGTGTATTGAATATGTGTGGATGTAGATGGGTTCCTCTCCCTACATTCTTCTGTTCCTTTCGGATTTAATCCATCATGCTGCAGATTTTTGTTTAGCTTGACTCATCTTTGTACATTTGATACTCATGCATGCAACAAGTCAATATAGTTGCCACATTTTAAACCTATGGTTGATTGAATCCTTTGCTGGTGTTCGCTGCCACTGCTTGCTTCATCATTTAAGCGGAAGTTTTATTTCGACTTAACAGGATCACCCACAAACAAATTAAATCTTAAGGTTGTGTCGTTCACTTGAAAACCCAACCGTTCGTTTTGTCCCTGTTACTGTAGACGAGGATAGTATCAGTGACTGGTCCACTGATAGCTGTGGGTGGAGTGAAGATGACTTTGATGTGGATTTGGACGTCACTACACCACCTCTGAGTGTGGACTCTGGTGCCTTAGACACCAGTGACCAAGAGATAGTGAGATGCATCTGTGAGGTGGAAGAAGAGAATGACTTCATGATTCAGGTGAGCTTGTTGTTGTTTTGTTTTTATTTTAAATCAGGCTTTATTATTTATTGCTTTTGAATCTAAGACTTTCACAATTGTTAAATACGTTTGTCTTGTTGTTAGTGTGAAGATTGTTTGTGCTGGCAGCATGGCACCTGTATGGGATTGTTGGAAGAAAATGTTCCAGACCGTTACACTTGCTACATCTGCCGAGACCCACCAGGTAAGGGGAAAAAATTTATTTGTTTATTTTTTTTAAAAGCAGACCTAGAATTATACTTTCCAGTGAGCACGAGGGACTGTGCAGATGTTCGCGCACAATTGTCAGCACAGAATTTACATTAGTTTAACAACTGTGCATGTGCCCCGTGTGACAGACCTCAAAGAAATATAATAAGAATCACATTGGATCTCCAGCTGCACAATAGAGTATGGTCAAAGCCTAAGACTGCATCATTTCCATCATAAAGCTTGCTCTGCTAATCTGTTAGAAATAACCATTTGCTTCTGCTGTAGTTTTTACTTCTCTCTCTCTCTATTTTGCACAGTTGAGGAGCGTATCAGGTCATTTCACTGCGTGTTATACTTGTATAACTATGTACGTGACAAATAAAAGGATCTTGAATCTTGAAAAAGTGTAACCGGCCATCTAGTGGACAATAAGAAAATGACAATGTCCAAGGAACATTGGACAATACGAAAAATTATATTTTTAAAGTTGTTCCAAGTTCTAAGATTGTGTCCCTGTGGCTCTTGTTGGATGCTAAATTGTTTAGCCAATAATCAGTAATCATTTTTATGTCATATGACTCATTTTTGTTACCCTAATTCTCATCCTCTTCCTCCTCCTTCTCCTGGTTTGAAGATGCTATCATTTCACTGTGATTCTAAATGCTTACTGGACTGTACATGATATCATTGTGTAACTTTAAATTGAGATTAGAATGTTTAGTCCTAATAACCATAGTCATGACTTTTGACATACAATATTAGCATTTTAAAAGGAATTCTGCTTCATATTATTACCTTGTTTTTTTTTTAAGACAGAAGTTTTACACTTAGGTGTGTCGCTGTATGGCACAGTACACTTTGCTTATATAGAGTCATAAGTTCCTGGTCTTCAAAACACAGCTAAATTACAGAAACTATGAACATTGCTGGCTATTGTTTTTAGTTGGTTATTAGTGGGAACTAAACAATGTAGTCTTCTGGGGTGTTTGACTGTGTCCACGGTACAGAGCTGCATGACTGTACAGTCCTGACTTTAGCTAAAAAGAAAATGTGTGAAGAGTGTGTTAATATTGCCAAGGTGGAGGAGTAAATGATGGAAGCTGATAAAATGCTGCTAAGCTAAGACTTTAGCACACATCTGTTTAGTTGACTTGGTTTGCTTACGTTTGTGTGTTCTGTTCTTCAATCTGCCATTTATTCCCAACCAACTAGAAAAGGAGTCAGACACAGTTTGGCTTGTACAGAGAATATTGGTGGCCTAACAGTCAAAGCATATTTTTGCCGTTACAGTTAATATTTAATTGTCTCAATTTCAGGTCAGAGGCAGAGTCTACGTTACTGGTATGATCGAGAGTGGTTGACCAATGGTCACATGTATGGACTCTCGTTCCTGGAAGAAAACTACTCTCACCAAAATGCCAAGAAGATCACCACCACCCACCAGCTGCTGGGAGATGTGCACCATGTAGTGGAGATCCTCAATGGTCTTCAGCTTAAGATGAGCGTCTTACAGTGAGTACAATTATTCCCAAGACAGGATATTTCTGACCAATGCACTTCAGCTGTTATTAATGATTAATCAGTCACACATTGGATTTTTTTCCCTGTACTTTCAGGAACAACTCTCACCCTGACCTGCAGCTATGGCGACAGCCCTGGAAGCATTTGGAGAGGTCAAGGATTGGTTCAGATTCGTGCCGGAGCAGCAATGCAATTCCATCTCCTGTGACTCCTGATGAGGACATGAACCGAGGAGAGATCTTAATGTCCAACGCTCTGGAGAAGCTTAGCCGGGCTGCTACAGCTGCCACCGCCTCTTCGTCCTGCTCCTCTTCCCCCTTTCCTTCCTTCCAAGACTCTTACATTACCAGTGAACACTGCTACCAGAAACCACGAGCATATTATCCAGCAGTGGAGCAGCGGCTGGTGGTGGAGACCCGACAGGGCTCTGAGCTGGAGGGCAGCATGAGGAGCACAGAGGAGCTGCTGGAAAGGGAGCAACGCTACGGAAGCCTGCTTGAGACAGACAAGCCCAAATCAACAGGCATCAGCAACAAGGTGGGCATTTGTTATGTAATTAAACTAATTAAACTGAGAAAAGCTGCTCTTCTGAGGGGGATATATAAAAATATACTTTTGTCAGCATTTCTCAGAATAACTCACCTCATGTGAGCATTAGATCTTAACTGCACAGGTCCCTTTTGGTTTATTATATAATTTAAAATGACTCCATCATAAACTTTGTTTTTCCTCAAAGTGAATACATTTACAAGTAAGTCCTTGTACAACTCTCATGTGGATTGTAGGTAAATCCTCCCATTTTTTTCCCTTAAAACTGTTCAGGCTTCATTGGGTGGCTCATGGTCACAGACTGAGAACAGGGACGAGGGTGTCAAGGACTCCGGAGAAGCTTCAGATAACAGCAGGCAGCATCAGCAGTGGCGGATCAACCTGCTGGATCACATAGATGCCGTCCAGGACGAGGTCTCTCACAGGATGGACTTCATTGAGAGGGAGCTAGATGGTAAGCCCTTTGACTTTAATAGCTTCTGTCCAACTAGGTCATTTAACTCACCAAACTGATTTAGAAATATGACTGATAAAATTTCACAAAGGTTCTCTGAAACAAACTCTACTTCTTGTCATCAGTGCTGGAGAGCTGGCTGGACTACACCGGGGAACTGGAGCCTCCTGAACCTCTGGCTCGTCTGCCTCAGCTCAAACACCGCATGAAACGGTTGCTGACACAGCTAAGCAAGGTGCAGCAGATCGCCCTGTACAGCTCCACATGAGGGCGTCAGAGAAGAGCAGCAGGTTCAGACGCCACACAGCCTGCAGAAGAGATGCAGTGGCTGAAGCTCACTGGTCACAGGCTGCAAAGATGACAGTATTCATGCAGGTCCAAGACTTTGTTGGTTCAGCACATTTGCTCTGATCTGACCTCTGCTGCTGTTTCTCCTTTTTTAAAAGGGTCCGTGTGGTGGAATCCAATGCCGTGCTCAGCTTGTGTCATATATGAATATTTATATGAACATTTATATGAACGTGTATGAAAAGTGAGCATCTTAAATCAGGATAAAACACAAGAAGTAACCTCGTAAATGCAGGAGAAAATCCTTTAGGACCAGACTACACTTCTGTGGTTTCCATGCAACTCTAAACCTTATGAATGCCTTTTGTCTGAGCTACTGCTTGAGGTTGTCCCGTCTCTCCCAGTACGCAGTGCTTTACATGCAGAAGAAGCTTTATAAGCAAATTGCAGTTCCTGAATCTACACTCTTTGCAGCAGATTTCTGAACACATTTTCACTTTTTTTTTCTTTTTTTTTTTAAATGGTTTTGTTTTGCATAACCTTGTCTCCCAGAGTTCAGTTGTGGTCATCTATCATGCCGTAATTTGTCAAATTCTTTTGGTAAATGTGGACAGATAGAAACTTGAAGACATCTAGTATGTAATGATGCTGTATAAGCGGTCCCTACAAAAAAATCTATTTTTTTTGACCTCCTCTAGGGTTTGTTTTCCACTACACTGTGAAGTTATTTTTGTTGGGTATCAAAGGCATCTTATTTTAGCTTTACTGGCAAAAGGAAAAGTTTTGTCTAAAAGCTGTCTGCTTGTCCGTTCACCCATTTTATCAGTTTGCGTTCCTACTTTAAATTACTCCTTGGATTGTCGTTGCTATAGCACTTGACCTATGATTCACTGAAAATTGTAATGTGGACTTGTCTCTTCTTAACCTATCATCTTGTGTCAGTGACATATTACTCAGAAAACCTGTAAATGTGTTCTTTTTCCTGTATTCTGTTTATTTACAGTAAATCGTTTGTTTGTAAATATGTCATTCTTCTTTAATGAGCATATTGTATGCTACTGTACTGTGTGTCTGGTTTAGAAGCAGGGGAAATGTCCAGAACAATGCAAACAGATTTCCTGGTACATAAATAAAATATCCTTGATATTAATCGCGATGAACATGTTCTGTATGTTTTCTCATAAAAACAGAGTAGTCCTCTTCTGTCTGTGTTGACTACCAGTGAAGTCGATGGTTGGATCATTCATATTTTGATGTTGATGTTTGATGTGACGGTTTTTGGCTTTTTATGGCATAGCCGATTTGAGCGGTTATATAATCGGCTTGAAAATAGAAACTGGATGGGGATTGTAATCGTGTAATCTCTCAAAATGTCAGCCGCTATCGTGAATGAAGGAATGAGAAGGAAAATGATATATTAAGCCTCAATGCTCATCTGTTGATCAGAGACTTATAAACAGCGGTCGTTTAAAAATTAATCGTCGATAAATTCAGCAGCCCAGCGAATCTAATGAAGTTGGGAACTGAAGTCATCACAAACACTGGCTTTGATCGTCTCTGTACATTTTGTTTCTCCCTTGGGAGCAGAGTGTCGTCTCCGTGATTTCGGAGCGGAGTGAGACCTCCCGTTCTCACCCCCCACTTTGTGGGCGGTACCGCCTCTTTCCCATTGGCTCCTCCGCCGTGTCTCCGCCGCAGCGTGTAGTTCCGCCCAGAATTACTAGTTGAGGCAGAGGAAACGCTGGGCAGCCACGAGCGTTGTTCGCTGTGTACTTAGAAATACAATTCACCGACGGTATTCAACAGCACTCCCAGCGAAGAATTGACAGTAAACCACCGGATACTTATTTCAACCGTCGAGGTGAGTTTTCATAACCGTTTACCACTTACAGATGTGCCCGACGCCACAGCAGATTACCTCAGCTCGCTGGATTTCTCAACCTGTTCGTGCTGCTGTCTGTACTGTCCAGGCGTTTGTTACATCGATGATGGCAGCAGTTAGAGGATCGTTAGAGGACTAGTTAAAACCACATGTTAAACACCAGTGGCTCACAGGGAGCGAGCGGTCCAGTCATGAAAAAACCCCAAAAACCAACAAATAAATAAATAAACTGCAGCTGAATTGAATTGAGTTCGTAGCCGCTTCTCTCAACTGTGATGCGACATAACGCCTGTGTTAACGGCTTAGCTTGTTTCCCTTCATTTGTCAGTGCAGTTGTTGTTGCCATTGATCTGGGATTTTTTTTCACTGTTAACATTTGTGCTTGCTAAGTGTTAACCCGTGTTTTAGCTAGTTAGAATACAACTAGGCCTGTCACGACGCCTCATAACGGACTGTGACAACTAAAGAAATGTTAGCCGAATAGCTTTGAGCTAAATAGATGGAGTGCACAGAACCTGTTAGTACTTATTACCTGTTAATAAAAAGAAAACAAAAACAAGAACTTTTATTATAAACACGCCAAAAATACAAGTTGTGCCTTTTATTTAACTCCCCCCTATCCAATTACTGGAATAGTAATATGATTTCTATCTGCATGGATTTAATTTTAGTTTGAATTATAACAGGAAACATTTGTCTCCAAAGATCCGAAGCCGGGTGTTGAATGTCCGGCCTCCCACCTCTCGCAGTGTGAGGGGACGTGTTGCCCTCAGCTTTGCACGCTCCTCCACAAATTGTCCCAGTCTATCCTCGACAGACCCATCATTACCATGCAGATCAGTCGCAATGAGATAGAAGCCCCCCCCCCAAAGAAAAATAATTAGACATAACGTGACTGATGACATTGTCACTGGTACGCAGGCGAAGGTCACACAGGTGAGAAGTGTAAGGGAGTGGGCATCAGGTGTTTCTCATTACTAAGAATATCAGAGCCTGTATTTAAATACCACCACATATCCCACTCTTTCAGAGTAAATCTGCCATTAGGTTATTGAAACCGTTTCATTTATGGGAGATTTAAACACTACAGAAAAGGACAAGAAGGTCACTGTGACCTTTGTGTTCCTTCCTGTGTGCTAAATGTGTAAGAAAGCCTGTGTAGCATATGTAAGTGTTAAAATGTAAAGTTTGATGGCGTTAAATTCACAAATTTTATCTCCCACAGTGCCCCGAACAGTGCCACATGGTCAGAACAGGCTGAACAGAGCTTACGCAACTACCAGGATTTTGTTGTCAGTTGCTATATAGTTGCAGAAGACTGTTGACTGCGATTGGGAAAGCTTGTATATATAATAACAGAGCAGATGGCAGGTAGGGTGGGGTGGGGTGTTTCGCCTTATTGTTTGAAGCTCTAAGCTCGTGGTTGATTATTACACCGAATCACCTTGTGCTTAACTTATGGGAGGGTCAAAAGTTGTTTATTAATGCACGCGTTGTCCTTCACATCTTGGAATCTGTAGGACAACGTGTTCATCAGGTCTTTCTAGGCTGTAATCCTTAGAGCCCTCGCTGAAATGTTGAATAATTTATAAGCGGTTTATGTGGTTTATCGCAAGAGTTTTGCCATATCTTTTTTTAATAGGTGGCGTGATTCATCTCCCACGCGCGCTCGGAAATTAAAACAAACTCACTGGAGTGAATGCAAAGGCGGCAAAATGAAACAGTTGCGGGCTTCACATGGCATTAACGCTCGTAAGTGAATGCTGAAAAATAATTTCCGTTTGTTAGTGTCAAGAGGTGAAACTTTTACGGTGCCTTTCAGCTTGGATTACACTTTCCACTTGATGTATTACAAGGATTACAGAGTACATGAAAAGTGAGAAAATGCTGCTGTTGTGCAGAAGAGGATTTCTTGCAGCATTGGCAGGGATGAATGTCAGGAAATAACACTGGCTGCTCAGATGGAGACAGTAATTAAGCCACTGTGCTGACAGTCAGTCTTGTCTAGTATTCGCTTTTCACCTTTGGATTCCCGGCCCGCAGGGCCAAACATAACCTGTGCCAGACACAGACGTTTACCGTGACTTCTTCTTATAATGGAAAATGCCTAAAACCTTTGTTGACAATACATCCTCATCCTGTTCTGCTATTTCTCCTTAGTCAGTTGGCAGTAAAAACATACAGCCAGCACATTATTATAGTGTTTTTGTTGTTTTTTTAAAATCCCCAGCAAGGCGAGCAATGTAAACATTATCCCGTGTGTCTTTTTCTCAGTCCGGCTCTGTCCTCTGCGCTGCTGCTGTGTTTTCGTAACAGCATCTGTAATTGAAGCTGTACAAAGCCTGGAGAAAACAGATGATGGATGTAAGCCTCTGCTCCGGGTTCATCTCTTAAATTTCCATCTCATCCCAGTCTACCGCTGAGCCCCTGCTCGGTTTGTTTTTATTGCATGGATATAACGGAGGATAAGTTTCCTTATGACGAGCTACGAAAGGCAAAACATCCAAGGCCGTTTGCGAGCTGACTTTCTTCGTGTGAGGCAATCGCGCTGTCTTCTACATAGTTTTCTCAAGACTTTCTTATCTGCTGGATCCCATCCCTGCTAGAAGGAGGGCTCCATCTCCATTTTCCTTATCAACATCGGCGGCCAAATCAGCAGGTGGGAGTGAGGCGAGGAGAAGCACAGGTGGTAAGCTTGTTGATCCAAAGAGTTGGATGCAAGCCAGGTTTGACCTCTGGACTGTCCCCGTCTCTCTGCTTTTCATTTAGGATCACATATTGAGCACATCTGCACAGATGCCATCACGTTAACCCTCAGTTTTCTCTGTTCCTCTCGTTTGTCTGAAGGTGGTTGTTGGATTTCTGCGGAAAAGAAGCTGTATTCACTAATCCAGATTGGGGGAGATATTCCAAATCCCTGTTTGTCATAGATCCATATAAGCTGGCACACATCACACAGCAGGCTCTCCGAACTTAAAAGTGTTAATAGCAGCACGCAGCTTTTAGTTACAGTCCCTCACAATAGGCTGTGAGCCGTATGAGCGGTTACATCCTCCGTTTGCTTTATGGTCACAGGGACACCCAAGACACTTAGATGCTTTAATGTGACGAAGCATATGGGAGATGCAGCGCCCTGGTAGTTTCAGGACCCCCTCGATCCATGTTTCTGCTGGAAGCTGATAAATTCTCTCACAGATGAGACGCAGCGAGCACTGATCTAAAAACTTAGGGATCATACTTTGAGAGGTTTGGACCCTTTAGACTCGGTGAGAGTTGTTTGTTTCACGTTTGCACGTGTACATGTATTGTTGTTTTTACATATTAGGAAGAGATGAATAGTCGACATCTTTTTATCACTCGTCTGATGTTTTCTCGCTGGACTTAAAGTCAACGTGCTGGAGTCGTAGAGTCAAAGCCAGCTGTTGAAGAATTCCTCATTGGTTGTTGTGATAAGAAGAATATGAGTTTATGGAAATGATGGTGAAAAAGGTCGCTCGATTTCAGCAGTGCCACCAGCTGAGCTGGATCTGGGGGGGGCGTACCTCCCCCTCCTGTGGTTGCCAAGGACACCGCCAGCCTCCACAGCGAACATTCGCCAAGGGAAGGCGCCAGAGGAGCCACCTCTGTGTTTCTCTGGGAAATTGAATTGTCAGCAATCAGTCATTGTGACAGCCAAGCTGACCACACAGATAACTCTATTAGCAGAGGCTGTGTTCCTGTGAGGCAACAGGCCTCTTAGCACTGATTCATACACTGAAACATACTGAGACTTGTCCTCATTCAAAGCTTGCTGTGTTTTCACAGGCAGAGGTCTTCACTGTCTCTGGATACAAGGGCTCTCATGTCTCTGTGCTCTGTTAATGTTTTATGGAAACAGTATCTTGTGTTTCCCTCCCCTCGTTTGTTGAAGTGACGCTGATGTGCCGTGCATGCGTGTGTCTGAGATTGTTAGGTCCCGTGCCACACAGATGGCCTCGCTGCTGCTTTCACAGGTGCCCTTCAACCAGCCTGACCGCAGTCTCCAGATCCTGCTGAGCCTCCAGCAGGACTCTGCTCTTCTGGAAACTCTGCCTCTTCACATCAACCAGCTGTGACCCAGGACACAGACACACTCGCACACACATACAGTTTCTGTCTTCAACTTTCTTTCTTTAGGCTTCCTGCACAACTGAGCATGGCAGAGGAAATCCCCATAGACTGAGCCGCAGCTAGCCTAGCGTAGCATAGTGGGGCAGGTACTCTATTAGCAGCGCTGAGTGCAGGGCAGACAGGCC